CCCCCCCAGAAAATTCGGATCTTTCCTCTTCCACGTGGCGTTTTTTTTTCTTCTATATTTTTGTTTTTTGATGAAAGTTAGGTCTGTGTTTACTAAAAGCTTCATAAACATTTTATTATCGTCACCCTGTAAGCCAGGACCAGAAAAATCGAGCCACATGCATGCTCTGCGCTTCAGTTGCGAGAAAATTAAACATCAGCAGAAGAAATGTCAGTGTCAAGTGTCAGCCAACCGAGACAACGGTACTTTGTGACTAGGTCTATTCAAGACCGACCCAAAACTGATTGGTCAAGGGTGACAATGCCAGCTAAAGACCGACAGATCAAGAGAAATCGTTTCAGGACAGCCTGTCAAACCGCAAGACAATTTCCTGGACTTTCACTCGTTAGCTAGCATACAGTGCGTCGCAGACTGAAAGAATACGATTGTTGCTAGGATGCTTACACTTACACTTACACACACACACACACACACACACACACACACACACACACACACACACACACACACACTGCGTACCATCAGGCTAGGATGAACTAGTCACAAAATATATACCGCCAATCAACTTTAAGCAGTGAGACACCAGCACCTTCTCAGATGATTCTCAATTCCAATTTGAACGCCACAATGGGGATATAAAAGTGTATAGGAGACCACGCTTTCAAACAGGACAATGTGTCCACTAAGAATTCGACTTAAATAAATCCAGAATAATATCAGTTAGTCTACTTCTTCTTTCCCTCTGCTGTGCCCGTGGCGAGTGCTCCGATGTGGTTTGCTCCTTCTTTCCATCCAACGTCTATTATCCTAATAATATCTTCTACTTTTTAGGGGGTATATTTTTTCTTTCTTTCTAGGCTTTGTCTGTCCACTGTAGGATGTAGCCCTCCAACTAAGGACTCCACGCTGTTTTATCACTTAGACCAATATTAAAGTAACTTGTTACTTATAATTTTGTGCAACAATTGTGAATCCCCGTCATCCGGTTCAAATCTCACACATTTTAAATGATATTATTTTATCACGAAGTCGCAGTTTTGACATCTCTACATATTCTATTTGTGAAAGTCCGTCACTTTGGCCGCCAAAAACGTCCGAACCACTTAAGTTTTGAATTTGGAAAAAAAAATCCCAGTGGTTTAGAATCATTTAAAGGGTGCACAATTATACTGAGGAGTCTGAAGTCACTGTAGTTTAATTTTCAGATTTTCCATAATTTCGTTTAGATCTAATCTTGGGAAAGTCCGTCTTCTAAGACAACATTGTAAACAAGTGAGGCTTCCATTCACAAAGAGTGCGTGTGAACTGATCCCACAATGACTTGACGATCGATTCATTTGAGTCCGTTCATTGAACGGGAAACCCAACCAATCAATTTTTCAGAGATCAGAGCCATATATGGCTGAACGACAAGGAACTTGGGACAGTGGACAAGTTCTGTTACCTGGGGTCTACCATCAGCTCTACTACATCACTTGATTATGAGATCAACACCAGGATAAGGAAAGCAGCAACAACGTTTGGAAGGCTGACAAAACGAGCATGGGAAAACAAAAGATTAACCATCAAAACAAAGATCAAGATTTACGAAGCATGTGTCCTCAGCACACTCCTTTATGGATCTGAAACATGGACCTTGTACAACAGACAAGAAAAGCGCCTCGACATTTTCTATCTCAGATGCTGCCGCAAGATCTTTGGCATTTCGTGGCGTGACAAGGTTACAAATGTTGAAGTGTTGGCACGCGCAAACCTCCAGAGCATGACAACTATCATGTGTTTAAAAAGATTGCGGTGGCTGGGATATGTCAAGAGAATGGACGACAACCGAATTCAAGAAGCAACTTCTCTAGGGAGAACTTGCCCAGGGAAAGAGACCAAGAGGAAGACCAAAATTGAGGTACAAAGACACCTGCAAAAACAGCTTATCTAAGCTTGGCGTAGATGTTAGCATCTGGGAAGAAATAGCTGAAGGCAGGAAAACATGGAGGAAAATGATAAAGGAACGAATTATAATGCTAGAGAGTAGCCTTAGAAACCACCAGGCTGAGAAGCACCAACGACGAAAGGAAAACAGCGGAAATACAGAGCTTCGATCTACGACACTGACATGCCAGCACTGCGACAGAATCTGCGCTTCAAACATAGGAAGAATTAGCCATGAAAGAAGCTGCATGAAGAAAACCTTGAGACCATCTTAAGCTAAGCTAAATTGCCCGTCTGCATAGACGAAAAGAGTCATATTAATCTTGGGAAAGTCCGTCTTCTAAGACGACATTGTAAACAAGTGAGGCTTCCATTCACAAAGAGTGCGTGTGAACTGATCCCACAATGACTTGACGATCGATTATTTTGAGTCCGTTCATTGAACGGGAAACCCAGCTAGTCAATTTTTCAAATAAAAAGTGGGGGCTCTCGTGGCCTTTGAGGTTAAGGTCTTCGACTCTCATTCAAAAGTCTCCGGTTCGACGAAACTGATGACGAAGCGCACGACATAGGCCTAGGCTACGGTGAATGGTGAATGAAGGACTTCCGCCCAGAAGAGTACAAATAGGTGGGTGCTTCCTCATTGTTGGCCACGTTTTTCATCTTCTTAGAAGAAACTTTTTGAATATGCTCTTGTCCTGATGTCTGCACTGTAAGTTCTAGCAGCGCGCATTCAATTTTTAATAGTCTGATCTCGCCTGTCACAGATTTTCTTCAGGCATGTCTGTAGTTGGTCCTGAAAATATTAGAGCATTTCGCAAAGAGATTGCATAATCTAGATCTAGATCTATACTTTAGCACGTTAAATTCTTCAATTGATTTTATCCAGATTTGTAGATCTAAGCTATCGGAGGCTAGAGGTCGATCTATCTATCTGTCTATCTACCTATCTAGATCTATCTATCCCGCCACACACACACACTCACACTCACACACACACACACACACACACACACACACACACACGCGCGCGCGCGCCCGCTCGAGCGGACCTCTAGCATACGATAGAATCTAGCTTAGATATCAATTGAAGAATTTAACGTGCTTAAGTATAAGTTCACAGCGTATAATCTCTTCAGGATAATCCGGTTTTGGCCTCAATGATTACGATACTACTACCTTACCTCCCTACAACCCTGCAACACATTGTACTATCCCTCTACCCCTATCCCTATCTCTACCCTTAACCCTTACCCTGCCCTTACCCCTACCCATATCTCCACCCCTAACCCTAACTTACTTGGTTGGAGAATAAGCAGCATTGCAGGCGGTACAATGCCATAACTGCTCCTCTGTCCACTCCACAATCCTCGAAAGGGTTGGCTTGCTGACTTCGATCCTGAAGGAGACACTGAACAGATTGAGAACTGGATAACTGTCCCCAAGTTTAATAGTCTACACTCAGAATTCTCACATGACATTTACTATGTTACACTATTATTTCTCTTAATATCAGTTCAAAATGGAATCAGTTTGAATCATGATTATTTGTGTCTCCCCTGTTTCCGTGATTTTATGACAGATATAGACATAAACTTCTGACATCTACAAGTACAAGGATCAAATGAACACAGGTATCGTGGTCTTGATCTGAGATTTTCACAAGTTTTATTTTCTGTTTCTACCTAGGTGCAACAGACGGTGACAGATCTTTGCTTGTTTTCAAGTCTTCACGATGAAATCTTTGACCACTTTTACACACGAGGTGCCTCATCCAGAAAATGTTGTGTGGGCGCCTCCCGCATACGATGAACAGCACCACTTGCTTTTTTCGCACAGGACCGTCTTGATTGGCATCGTCGGGTCGTTGATCATTACTGTGGCAGTGGTAGGAAATGTTCTTGTCTGCTTGGCAATTTTCACAGAGCCTATTCTCTCCCACAGCAAAAGCAACTTTTTTATCGTGTCCCTGGCAGTTGCTGACCTACTGCTCGCTCTCCTGGTCATGACGTTTGCTTTAGTCAACGACATGTACGGTTACTGGTTGTTTGGAGAAACCTTCTGCTTCATCTGGATGTCTGCAGACGTCATGTGCGAAACTGCGTCCATCTTCAGTATCTGTGCCATTAGTTACGATCGCCTGAAGCAAGTGCAGAAGCCACTACATTATGAGGAGTTCATGACTACTACTCGGGCTCTTTTGATTATTGCTTGTTTGTGGATTTGTTCATTTGTCGTGTCTTTTGTACCATTCTTTCTGGAGTGGCATGAGCTCTCAGTGGAAGAAATCAATGCCATTTTCAAGGATCACAAAACAGAAAAGGAAGAAGCCCATGAAGCACACAATATTTATTCTGCGCTTAACCAAACCTTGGGAGTTAAACAAAAATCGAATGCAAAACCTGTGTGCCTCTTTGATGTACATTTCACCTATTCGGTAATCTATTCCTTTATTTGTTTTTACGTCCCGTGCACCTTAATGCTGACAAATTACTTACGCCTGTTCTTAATTGCCAAAAGGCACCAGGTCCGGATCAGGAATCTCCAAATGACCAACCCTCCACAGCTTAGAGGTCAAGGGGCGAGCTCCTACCGGAAACAGGGAACACAAGGCAGTAAAGCAGCCCGGACTCTCACGATCATCACAGGAACTTTCCTGGCGTGCTGGTTGCCTTTCTTTATCATCAACCCAATTGCTGCAGCAGATGAACACCTCATCCCACTGGAATGTTTCATGGTGACCATTTGGCTCGGTTATTTCAATTCCTGCGTCAATCCTATCATCTATGGGACGTCCAACTCCAAATTCCGAGCAGCTTTTAAGCGACTTTTGCGCTGGCATTCAGTAGAAGGAACTGGTACTGGCTTCTCCCACGTCCCTCGGGCTTATCGGGCATTTTCGTGGATACGTCCCAGCCGCTTAGACCTGTCCCCAAGCGTACACCATAGTGATGTCTCTGATTCAGGGCACGATAAAAATAGTGAAGGAGGTGATTACCCCACAACTGACCCAACAAAGCCCGATGTCAACGTCAGCGAAGAGATAATTTATGCTGGCACTAAGTTGTCCGAAAGCGAAGTAGCCTTCTCGTTATGAAGCCATTCCTTTAGAAGTAAACATGGTCTATCAATTAATGTTTGTTGGGGTGAGTGTTTTACTATGCTCGCAATTGCTTAAGATTGTAAGAGTGCGCTTGATACATTATACATTTTCAGTTTAGTAGGGAGTTTGATTCTGTCAGGGTGGAGGCCGAAGCCTCCTCTTGCCGATTTTAGGACGACCAAGGGATCTATAATGGGCGCAACATGTAAATTGGAACTCTGAGTTTTTTCCCCTTATCTATCCGAGAAAGCGACGTGTTAGATCCTACCTACCATATCATCAGGGGTGTGGCTGAAAGACAGCAGCAAGAAGGGGCCAAGGAGTAGCAATCGAAAGACTGCAGAAAGCGTCAGGAGCCCAGAGGAGTGGACAAATGAGGTGAGAGGATGGGAGCAGCAAGTGGAGATGAAGCAGACAACAGAACATGTTTAGTGAGCAGGAAAAGAGGAGAAAGGAGAACATTTTGGAGAAGAAAATTTTCTGTCCCTGGAAGGTTTGGAACCCGGGACCTGTGGAATGAGAATCGAACACCGTAACCGCTTGACCACAAGAGCCCCCGTCTATAAATTAGTAGACTATAGAAAAAGATAAAATAAGCGCGACATAAGGCACATGTTCACCCTGGTCATAAGTTACTAAACAGCGCACAATGTTGGTCAATTATGTGCAAACAAAATTAGGTAGACGGGGAAAATCAACAGTTGAATGACCCCTTACGTCTGCAGCCCCCCCCCCTCAACAAAAAACAAACAAAACAAAACAAAAAACAAACAAACCGACAAAAAAACAACAACAAACAAACAACCCAACAAACAAAACAAAACAACAACAACAAACAAAACCAAAAACAACAACGACCCCCCCCCCCCCACCCCTGAAAAAAAAAAAAAAAAAAAAAAAAAGAAAAAATGGTCTCTCACAAAACCCCCCCACAACAAAACAACCCCCCCCCCCCTTCAAATAAAAACAAGCCCAATAAAAAGGATTTTTGAAAAAAAAAAAAAGGAAAACCCCCCCCCCTAAAAAACCCCAAACAACAACAACAACAAAACAACAAAAGACAACAACACTCACCCAAAACAACAGAAAAACTCAAAGAACCTAACCGTTTTAGGTGTATCGATTACAGTTTCCTGAGGCGTCGATGATCAATTACTGCCCAAGGAGTCACCTCATCCCCCGTCCCCTTTTTTCTACAGACTAAAACAGATAATGGAAAACTAAAACTCTCTTTGCATTACTTTTTGGCAATTACTTCTCTTTTACTTCTAAAAGTATTCAATTATTGGACGGGGATAATTCAGTTGAAACCACGAAGAACATAGCAGAGGTGCCAACCACAGCTGCGAGGAAATTTCTTTTTAAAGTGAGACTTGGATTACATTAAATCCTCGTTTTTAATAGTTATTAAAGTTTGCGTAATGTGACCATGGGAAGTATCCAGAATACCAGGGGAAGAAACTCTGTACTTACAAGTCAGGAAATGACAATTGCTCGTCTAACCTCAGGTGTTACACCCCAGTCACGGTTTATGGGTGCAACAGCATGGCTATGTTTCTTAAGTGCGGTTAACAGTGTGACCCAAACAGGACCACCTGAATTTTGCAATCTTGTTGTCACTAACGTATGAATAAAGTGATGAGGACGTTTAAATATAGTATAGATCTGGAGTAAACTATTTGACTTGTATGTATACATTAATTATGATCTTATCTAGAACTCAAAACACATAAAACTTGGCCAGAAAAGAATATGAATAGGTTTATACTGCGAGGTCCGTTTATAACAAGGGGAATAAAAACGGCTCGAGATTAACGAGAAAATTCTTAATTCCCTGTTTTAATTATTATGTTTTTTTTTTTTCAAATTCGTTTGAATTATATACTGAAATATTGATAAAGCAAAACAAATGGTGACAAAAGGAAAGAAAGGTGTCTTGTCAACCTATGGCAGTATAGCGAGACTCGTAACTCATCGCTCTTGACGAATAGATAAGGACTAGCTGTGCCCCCTTTCGTTGAAAGGAATGATCGGTGCATTAACGTCAGCCGAAAGTCATGATATTTACATTCTACTGGAATGTAGCAATAGATCTTGAGAGATGCAAAAATTAGAAGGTTTAGATCTATACTCTCAAAACAGTGCGCCCGGTAAGTGAACGGAAACCTCCTTTTCTAAAATTGCAGAGACAGAAGCGTCGGCCTACAAAAGCGATCGGCGAAATAAAAAAATGTAGCTTTTGGCAGCAAAACTGTCTCAAAACTGAAAAAAAAAACCCGAAGGGAGTCATGATCTGGAGAATATTTTTAAGAATCTTTCGGCGAAAACCGAATGTCGATCGGTGCAGCCATTAAAAAGCCTTTTGAATAGTAAAATTCGGCAATCACAAATAGATAATTAATAGTAATAGAATAGATGTTGGCCAAACCAACAAGTTACAAACCACGCTACATCGGTTATATCGTCGATGGGCCGATAAAAGTGACTCCCCCGCCTGCTCTCTTGTTCCCCAATGCTGCAAACACTCCTCCGTACCTTTCCTCCGTCTTCTCTCTCTCTCTTTCTCTATCTCCCTCTCTGTCTCTCTCTGTCTCTGTCTCTCTCTGTCTGTCTCTGTCTCCCTCTCTCTATCTCTCCCACTAAATCTCTCTCTCTCTCTCTCTCTCTCTCTCTCTCTCTCTCTCTCTCTCTCTCTCTCTCTCTCTCTCTCTCTCTCTCTCTCTCGGTCCTGAAATATTGAAACATTACACAATATAGAGGATTGAGTTTAGGCTGCACACAACGTTTTACAGCTAACAAAACCACGTAGAGCTCTTGGACAAAGACATAACAAAACCCAGTTAGCTCTATCTGTGTTTGAAAAAATAACAGCAAGAGGTCAAGAGATAGCACGAGAAAT